GTTATCAAGTTTGGATTTTAGTTGTTTTAATTATATTTTTATTAACATTCATTCTTTTTGTTAACAATAACTTTAAGGATTTCGTTAAATCCTTTCTATATATTTTACAGTTAACTTTAGTGATTTCGATTGATGTTAAAAAAATTGTTTTTAACCGAATTTTTTTAATTTTCATTTTAATGTACACTTTTATTATGAATATTTACATTCAAGGAAGATTATTTAGTTTGGTTACGGTTCCTTTATACGAAAATCATGTTACTACAATTGATGACGTTATTGAATCTAATTATCCTAAGGTAATGCAATATGGAGCTTTCTACATTATAGCTTTTATTAATCCGAATTTTAAAAATGTTAAATATATTAATAGTAATAATAGCATGGAGGAAGATATTTATGAGTTTTTTAAACTCAAAAACTTTATTACTTTTGGAAAAGATGTATTTTTGTCTTTGCATTCCACCCAAAAGTATGATAAAATTCTTACAAGTGGTTCTTATATTGCCATCAACGTCCGCGATTGCTTTCATATGTTAGATCAAATTAATTGGATTTTAGGAATTTTAAAACAAGGGGGATTTGTCATTAAATGGCGACAAGATTTAGCTTGGGAATATGGTTTGAAAAGTAATCAAAGTAGAACTGATATTATTTCTTATAACACATTAGATTTGGACTCTTTAGGGAATGCTTTTATTATTTGGATGTTTGGAATTTGTGCTTCAATTTTTATCTGTATCTTTGAAATATTATGGAAATTAAAAGTTAATTTCTAATGCTTATAAGAAGTTTAACATTATTCTTTAAAAATTACTAAATAATTTTCCAAACCAAGAAATGTAATTGAAATTATTCTTTTACGGTATACGAAATGTGAAACAAGATAAAAATCTGTGTATACTATTTCTATGTACCAATGCCAGAATAAAATAGTTGTGCGTAAACATGCTTTATCACTCGTTAGCTGTATCACGTCTTCCAATCTGCCGTACAACTTTCTCACACCGTAATAACTTTGAGTGAAAAATTCGAAAAGTCAGCTTGGAAAGGTGTGATCGCTAAAATATAATGTGAGCAATGTGAGGATTCATTGTAAAGCTGAATTGTCTAAACTCTAAAACCAAGGAGATCAATTGTTTTGCAACATTTTTCATAAATTTGGTAGATACAGTTGCTTCAACATACTTCATATCACTAACATCTGCTATGCACACTTTACGACTTCAATATTTAATGATTATACATGATTTTTTATGTATCCCAGTATCTGTTCCAACCTGCAAATGGCTCCCAATCGATCTCAACTGCTTTCAATATCGTTTATATGGGACAGCTGGTTGTTTGCATCACAAGAAATGCAGGCAGAACGGATTTTGTAAAAGAAGCCTCTTGACTTCCACAAAGAAGAAGAAAAAACCACTGTAGTGTACCTCTAAGCTGCCAGAAAGCTGGTATGTATTTTGATACATGCTAGGCTTCATTAACTATCATCATCATCATCATCATTGGCACCACAACCCCTGGTGGATCTTGGCCTGTTCTAGGATCAGCTTCCAGCCTTGGCTTCAAGTTTCCAGCTCCCAGCATTTTTAGACTTTCTTCCATCTGGTCCTTTTATCTGCTTCTAGGCCTCTCTTGCGGGTTCCAAACACTGTTTGGCGAAACATTTGCTTTGGGGGTCTCTTAATACCTTACCCTATTGATTTTCATGGATCGTACAATATCCGCTTTTTCCAATATTCTCCATATTCCGTTTTCCTAAACACCGCTGTATATGTGGCTGAGTATCTTTCTTTTAAAGCAGTCCAACAATTTTTTGTCATCGTCAATGTTTTTGTCGCATACGTGAGGACTGGTCTTATAAGCGTTTTGTATGTTAGTACCTTAGTTTTGTTGGTTACTACGCCTGTCGTTAATAGTTTTTTCAGTCCAAAGTAAGCTCTATTAGCCATATACATATATATCTTCTCCTAATTTCTGCAAACATTATGTTATTTACATTTACCTGGGTTCCAAGGTATATAAATTGGACCGCGTTATACATCACTTGACTAAGCAACATTTGATCGTTTTTGGAGATTTTCATGCTGTCTGGTAGGTAAAAGTCTAACTTATCTTAGAAAAAATGCATGCTATTTGTTTTAAAGCATAAAGCTAAGCGCCAATCACGTTATACGAGTTCAAGTCCAATTTGCATCATACGTCTAAGAACCGACTTAAATACACCAAGAAATTCTACAATAGAAAAATAGATGAACCTACAATTTCGGACCAGTGTCGTTTTCTAGATGTTAGTATAAAATTAATGTTTATCAGAGACTCTACAAATAGATTAACATCTCTCATCTTAGTTATTCATCTCTCGTTAGTTCTAGTTTTACACTAGCACTATCACTAGAACTAACACAAGACCTAGAACTAGAATCATTCGGGATTAGCCGTCCTGAGAAACGTGGGACTAAATCCGAATGTTTCTAGTTCTCGGTCTAGTGTTAGTTCTAGTGGCAGTGGTAGGTAGCGCTAGTTAGCATAGGATATTACTATGTTGTATATTATTGAACTGAAACTAGAACGAGAACTAGAAACATTCGGGTTTAGTCGTGAAAAAAACTTTCAGTTGTCAATGTCAACTTTAATTTTACTATTATATTCGTAATCTTCATAAAATAACCTTTAACGTGAGTCCAAACTTGAAGCATTTATCTCAAAAAACCAAAAAGTTCGAACTTTCAACGTTTAATTTTGACATATTTGTCAACTTCATAAAAAATCCTTTGAAATGAGTCCAAACTCGACATATTTAAATTTAATAAAATTGAGGTTGACATTTTAAACGTGAAGTTAGTTATCATATATTATAATAGAAGTTTTATAACTGAAGTAAATCTATTGTTAGTCACTTTTCCGCACTGTCTTTTTATTTTTAACGTGTTTTTTGGGTTATTTCACATTGATTAAAAAAAATCGTCGATTTTTAGGCTACATCATGATTCTTGAATTGTTTCCAAGTTTCTTAATATTTCTTTTGTTAAAAAAGAGCGTTTTTAAATTTTAACCTGTAAACTTGTAACACTTCGTCCTTAATTTCATTTTACAACTTTTTAAACTTTAATTTTGTAAATTAGTAACTAATCATCTGATTTCGACTTTGATACGTGATCTTTTTTAACAAAACAAAAAAAAATATTAAGAAACTTGTTTGTAAAATGGATAAGATGAGAGATATTAATCTATTTGTAGAGTCTCTGAAGATCATCAAGGGCCGAAACTGGTTGGACTTAAATTCTATATAAAATAAAAACCAGTTTAAAAGTACAAAATCAAACTCTAGATTATTTTCTTCAAACATTTTTACACGAATTGTCATTATTTTGTTTCTAGTTTCTAGTTTAGTGATTAAATTTATGCCACGACTTACAGAAACAACCTGTATAATCGTAAAACGTAACGAGTGACCAAGTGGCTGCTGTGCTTGTGATAGCTGTCTGAAGAGTTTCATTCTACAAAAATTCATCTTCCTCTTCAGGATCGTTATTCTTATTTAGTTCGGCTGATGACCGAAGCAGTCAATTCTGTTTTTGTATGCAGGCGACCATACAGAAGGACATCCCCAAAACGTCACCGCCTTGGTGGGATGAGGAGTGCACTAAAGTTATTAAAGAGAGGAAAACTGTAATTAAAGTGTACAAACAGCACCCAATCCTGGATAATTATGTTAAAGAGACTATGGCCTACGTCAAACGATTTCTGAAGGCAAAGAAACGGAATAAATGGAAAAATTATCGCAGTAGTTTAATTTACAGTATGGAATAATATTCGAAGATTTTGTGGGTTGCCTGGCAATAGATCGTTTATTATTAATCCCCAAATCCCATCTAAATAAAATTAATATTTTACAGTCCCCTAATTGTTCGTGTGGGTTTGAGACAGAGGATTTGAATCATATATTTTTCAACTGCGATAAATATGAATCATATCGGCCGGAATTCATCAGTTCTTTGCTATCGCACGGTATCTCCTTGCCACTTGATGTTATCACGATTTTAAGCTGAAATTGTTTTGAGATTTTTAAAATTATTTTTGTTTTTATGAGGAAGATTATTTGATATCTTTTAGTTAAATTACTTAGTACTTTAGTTTCTTTGATATTTTGCAGAAACTTCGACTTATACTCAATCGAATTCTTATTGGTAATAAGTGAGATATTCGCGTTTGTCGTTTTCGTAAATTTTTCAGTTTTGCCGATAGGATGAAAACACAAGACGATGCTATTTGGAGCTTTAAGCATTAGCAGTTTCTCGAAAAGCGAGATTATGACATGTAAGCTACTTTTTTCTATCTCTTTTAGTTTCGGAGATAGCCTATGCGGACAACGAAGTTGGGACACCTGTACTTATTTCTCCACATCCCTGTGTAAAAACGATACACAGGGATACACATTTTTTAAAGCGTATTACATTAATTGGGTACATCCTGTACAAAAAAGTTTTTTTATGGATTTCTGAGGCAACAACTTCGATTACCAAAAAAAAAACCGCGATAACTCAAATAAATTAGTACAACTACATTTACGTGAATAATCAGCGTTAAAATTTATTGTCGTGGGAGTGTCAGAACAATTTTTTTACTTCAACTAAAACAGCTTTTATTACTCGTAATAAACCCAAAGATACCGCTCCTTAATACGATTCAACTTCTTCACAAGCAGATTTACTTGATCCGCAACGAATTAAAAAAAAGGGTAACTAATTATCGAGGCATGTAACAAGTTACAAATCAGGTGATGAAGAAGTTAATGAGAAAATAATTATAGCATTTTGATTCAGTCCTGAACCGTTTTACGTACGGGAAACAGTTAGATATATCATATCAGAAAAAAGATTACCGTAGGATTTCGTTATCAATGATTTATTCAAAAAGAATTACTTATTAAAAAAATAATAAAAATAACAGAGATTGATTAATAATAACGGAATTATGAAAAAATGTCATGAAATGTCGTGGAAAAGTCGGAAAAAATGTCATCTAGACGTGGTGTTTTGTCAGCATGGTAAAGAATTCAATTAAAGTATATGCGAGATTAAAAAACGAGGATGTTAGCAGCAAAAAGGTGGTGGTGAGTAAAATGGGAAATGATATAAAATTTATCATAAAATTATAAAATGAGTGTAAAATCGAGAATAAAATGAGAAATGTTTTGAGATTGTTGTCTATAAAACGCCAGATGGTGTCCGATTGATACTACTTCCTATGTCTTGTTTCTTTGCCGCAGAAATATCAAATTTATCGTCGAGTCGAGCACGAGGACATTAGCTTTCCCGTAAATAGCACGACAGATGTTCCGCAAAAGAACCGCAAGTACAGGTAGAATAAAAAAAAATGTTTATCTCCTTAAATAGAATTTGTTTCATCTCGTTTAATTCAATTTCTTAGATTTTGCAAAATATTTGATGAACTTTGTACTCAAGCTGATATTTTTACAACTCTCGCTGTACCGATTATAAACAGGTAAAAAATATCACATTTTTAAATCTTAATAAAAGATCGTCTATTTTTTAGCGTTGTAAATGGTTTTAATGGAACAATTTTCGCTTACGGCCAGGTAAAACCAAGTTATAAACAAAAAATTAATTATTTTGAAAATATTTAAGAATTTTTATAGACGGGAAGTGGAAAAACGTATTCAATAACAGGATCTCCTTCGGAATATAATAAAAGGGGAATTCTTCCTCGGTGTATTGAACAAATTTTTGAGTTAACTAAAACCGTAAGTTAATCAAAAAAAACTTACCCTTTTTACATTATTTGCATTAATTCACTTTTCTTCACGACACCACACTAAAGACTAAAGCATTTAAATTCATTAACGAAGTTTATTTAAACCTAATCTAATTTAAACTATTTTAATCTAAACTATTTAAATAATAAAATCGTGCCGAACTAATTTTATTACAACCACATTTTTATCAACATTTTTTTGAAAATATTAAACCCATCGCATTCCGAACGTTGTTGTCGGCACGATTAACCAAACATGAAAAACATTCATTATCGTCACATATACGGATACACGGCAATCGTAAAAACCGCAAATTATCTATTACGTGAATTCTCGGGAATCAGATCTTGTTCAGGAAGAGAACGAATCAACAACGATCGTTTTATATCTACTTTCTCAACGTAATCCTAATTGTTTTGAAAACGAAAACAGACTGTGACCCAGATAACTTCTTTAAATTATTTCTTCTTTGAATTCTTTTCTTCTATCTTTAGACACCAAATTTATACAACATTTACGTGTCTTATTTGGAAATTTACAACGAAGTCGGTTACGATTTACTCAACTCCAAATGTCAACCGTCTAAATTAGAAGAACTTCCGTAAGTTAAAACAATAAATTATTGCAAATTTAGGAATCATTTTTATTTTTGGGTTTAAGACGGGTTATTCTTCTTGAAGATGCTAATGGTGAGGCTCATTTGAGAAACTTGAGCGTACTTCCAGTTGCAAGCGAACAAGAGGCTATGAGATTAGTTTTTTTGGGAGATACAAATCGGTATTAGAAAATTATTTAGTAAATTTTTCTTTTAATTTTAATCTTAATTAGAACGATAGCTGAAACTCCTATGAATGAATATTCTTCGAGGTCTCATTGCATTTTTACGATTTATGTTAATAGCAGAAACGAATCTGGTGGGAAATTACGAAGATCTAAACTACATTTAGTTGATTTAGCTGGGTGAGTTAATTGGATATTAATTTCAGTATATTTTGATATGATTTAGAATTAAGTGATTTAATAAAAATCATCTTCAGTCTCACTCCAATTGCAATTGCAAAAAATTGTCGAGAAAATTTATTTCTCATGAACTAAAAATAATTTTTAAAAACGGCTTGCTGCATTAAAAAGAAAATACTATAATTAATAATTGGTGATATTTCCACAAGGATCCTTCAAGAAATTAATTTTATAGCGAATTTTGAAAGTTATCGATGAAAATTGCAACATCGAAAATTTTATCAAAACTTCAAATATTGTTTTCTCAAAAACTAAAAGTTATTTTTCAAAACGGGTTGGTTTATTGGAAAGAGGACACTTTTATTAACACTTTGGGAAATTTTCATACTCATATTCCAAGAAATGGATTTTATACGAATTTTTAAAACTTAATCGGCGAAAATTGCAAAATTCGAAAAAATTGTCGATCATTTCAAAAATTTATTTCTCAAGAACTAAAAGTGATTTTTCAAAACGGCTTTTTGCATTAAAAAGAGGATACTTTAATTAATAATTGGTGATATTTCCACAAGGATCCTTCAAGAAATTAATTTTATAGCGAATTTTGAAAATTATCGATGAAAATTGCAACATCGAAAATTTTATCAAAACTTCAAATATTGTTTTCTCAAAAACTAAAAGTTATTTTTCAAAACGGGTTGGTTCATTGGAAAGAGGACACTTTTATTAACACTTTGGGAAATTTTCATACTCATATTCCAAGAAATGGATTTTATACGAATTTTTAAAACTTAATCGGCGAAAATTGCAAAATTCGAAAAAATTGTCGATCATTTCAAAAATTTATTTCTCAAGAACTAAAAGTGATTTTTCAAAACGGCTTTTTGCATTAAAAAGAGGATACTTTAATTAATAATTGGTGATATTTCCACAAGGATCCTTCAAGAAATTAATTTTATAGCGAATTTTGAAAATTATCGATGAAAATTGCAACATCGAAAATTTTATCAAAACTTCAAATATTGTTTTCTCAAAAACTAAAAGTTATTTTTCAAAACGGGTTGGTTCATTGGAAAGAGGACACTTTTATTAACACTTTGGGAAATTTTCATACTCATATTCCAAGAAATGGATTTTATACGAATTTTTAAAACTTAATCGGCGAAAATTGCAAAATTCGAAAAAATTGTCGATCATTTCAAAAATTTATTTCTCAAGAACTAAAAGTGATTTTTCAAAACGGCTTTTTGCATTAAAAAGAGGATACTTTAATTAATAATTGGTGATATTTCCACAAGGATCCTTCAAGAAATTAATTTTATAGCGAATTTTGAAAATTATCGATGAAAATTGCAACATCGAAAATTTTATCAAAACTTCAAATATTGTTTTCTCAAAAACTAAAAGTTATTTTTTAAAATGGGTTGGTTCATGGGAAAGAAGACACTTTTGTTAACACTTTGGGACATTTTCATACTCATATTCCAAGAAATCGATTTTATACGAATTTTTAAAACTTAATCGGCGAAAATAGCAAAATTCGAAAAAATTGCCGATTATTTGAAAAATTTATTTCTCAAGAACTAAAAGTGGTTTTTCAAAACGGCTTTTTACATTAAAAAGAGGATACTTTAATTAATAATCGAAAGTGATAACAGAGACAGTTCTGTTAGTAATAAGTGTGATGATGAATTACAAATGAAGAGAAGAAAACTAGACGAAACTGCAACAAGAGATTTTATATATCGTATTGAGGTTGCTAATGACAAACCTGATATAAATAAAGTTGTATTTAATGAAAAAAGTCCTATTAGGGTTGAACTTGATTATTATCTGCAGTGTCCAACACCAAAAGAGATACTAATTCATGTGAATGGTGGAGTACTAAGTAATAGGTTTTTATACATTTGGTAACTATCCGTTCCACCACTAGTACATGTTTAGTGAATTCCTCCTCTGTTCTTACATAAGTCTGACCCGCAGTACTCAATTCACTTACAAGTACCACATTATTAATTTCATCCCATCAAATGTCTGTTAACGATTAAATACATAAAATCTGTCTTCACGAACTTTATTGCCTTCTCACTTGTTCGTTGGATAACGAAAATTGTATCCATCAATCCGTCTCGCCATCTTTTGCTATTTCATCGATATTTTTGCCTTTAGAGAAGATGTATCCTTGTTGAGCATTACTCTCCTTGCTTCCTTGCTTTCTGCCATCTCTTCATAAATCTTTTTGAAGTATTTTTTCAAATTTTTCGCCCTTTATCTTTTTGCCCTGTATGAACACGTTTACTGGTTTCTTTCTGTTTCCCTATAAATTCCAGATTTCTTTCTCACCGTCGTATAGGTCACTTTCTTGCTCACTACTTTGTATGCTTCATATGTTATTGCAATAGGAACCATTCTGCAAATAAGATTTTTATTTTCCGTAGCTAGAATTCTTGAGTTAATCTTGGTCTTGCATTTCCTGATGTATCTCTTCTCCCTAATGCTTCGTCTGCTTATTTAATCATATTTGCGAGTACTGTTTCAGTGTCATCGTGGTCTTGTATTATATTAGTCGTGTATTTTTATTTGAGCGTGTCCATTGCTGTTTAACAAAGTAAATGCATGACAACAGCGAAAGAACCACTGAACCAGAACATAATAGAGCAGGTCATGGCATTCAGATACTTAGGAGTTGAACTATCAAGTTACAAATGTCTTTCACAAACTCTGAATAACATTTAATAGTTAGCAATGACTCCATTGATTTTTATGGTTCCTATTTCTCTTAATGGCACTTCTTAACCGATTTCGCCTTTAATTATAAACAAAATTAGATTAATATACAAAGCTATTATTCTCAACCAAAATTTGTTTCAATATTTTTTTATTTTTTAGTTCTGAACGTATATGTAAAGCAAAAATAAGTGGTGTAACCCTCCGTGAAGCAAAAAACATAAATCTCTCCCTTCATTATTTAGAGCAAGTAATCCTGGCATTGAGCCAATCGAATCGTACCCACATCCCCTATAGAAACAGCATGATGACGTACATATTACGAGATTCTCTCTCGGGAAACTCCCTAACGAGTATGTTGGCCACTTTAGCTATTACCCAGCAAAATCACCCCGTAAATAAATACATGAGTTAAGCAGGAAAGAAGAAATTTTACCATTTTTGTTCCAGGAAACTGTAACCACTTGTAAATTCGCGCAGAGAGTCGCTTGCATAAGTACAGAAGCTATAATTAATGAGGAAGTTGATCCGCAACAAGAGATTGAATATTTAAGATCTCAAGTTGATGAGTTGCGTAGACAACTTGCTGAAGCTAAAGGGGGAAATGTATTGAAGGTGTCTAGGGGGTTTACAACGATTAAAAAAAATCTTTTCACCCCTTCTTGTTGGATGTTATTGTTCCACAGGGATAGATTTTTTTTATTTTTGTTCCTAAACCCTTTGGGAATTTGTTGTAAACTCCCTTTTGAGTTGATACGAATTTTTTAAAACATTCTTTTTAGCCGCAAAAAGTTTTGAGTTATGAAGAGGAAGAACGTTGCAAAAACATTGCAAACGGATTTTTAGTGAATAACAAAGAATGTTTGTTAGAAAATTTAAGCAATCCCGAATTAGTTTGCTGCATAAAGTACTTAAAATCAAATTTGGATGAACGGTTAAACAATTATATTGAAAAACAAAAAATCGAAGACGAAAAAATTGATTTAACACAAAAATTTAGCAAAATCATTAAAGAAAAAGAGGAAGAAATTTGTAAATAATAAATTTCGTTTTTTTTTTAATTATTTCAGTTTAATTTTTAGCTACTTTAACAAAACTACTTGAAACAGATCCCCAAAAATCGACAGATCAAAATCATTTAAACGAAAATAACAATCAGAAATTAAATTCTTATTATGACCTCCCAAAATTAAAAGAATTCGATTTCGCCGAGTTTAAACCTAAAGAAATAAAAAATTTGGTTGATTTAAACGAAATTAAAAATAATTTGCCGATTTCTGAACCAAACTTATTCGATACTTTTATGATGGATAAAAATAATACTGAAGGAATCAATCAAATAAAAGAATCGTTAGAAAAAAAGTATGATTTAGCTAAAAGCGTTTCAAGAACGGTTCAAAAATGCGAAGATAATATAAAAGATATTAGACAAAAATTAGCAAAAGAACCGATGGGGACTGAAATGTCCGAAAAATTACACACTTTTTTGATATCCCAACAAAAAATTTATAAAGAATCTTTGGATCATTTGGAAGATTTAAAAAGTGAAACCGAATTTTTAAAAGAGAGCTTAAAACAAGCTGAAAAAAAGGTTGTGATTAAATTTGAAAACACCGTTAAAAATAAAAGTAAAGAAAAAAGTGAATACGGGTATGATTTTTATGATTTTATGCCGGAAAAAGACGAATATGAACACAATACTAAAACAAAATCAAAAGATTTTGATGTTGATACATTTTATAATGTAGTGGATGATGAAACTGAAAATGTTCCTTCAATCGATGAAATTTACATACCAAATAAATATTCAACTTGCACTGATACTGAAAAAGATTTTAGTGAAAGCAACGCTTCGTTATTAAACCTTGATATAGACTCGTTTGAGAAACTTCCTTATTCTAGTCGATCCTTGGAATCAAGCAGAACTTATCGTAGTAAGAGCTCAACCCCAAAGAGTACTGAAGATAAACGTATCGACACTCCTAGAAATGCATCAACTAGTTTAATTAAAACCACTGATACTCCCGAATTTATTGAATTCATGAAAACCATTCCATTAACCGGTGATTTTGAAGTAGATGATGAAATTTTTAATTTTTATAGAAGCAAGTTTGAGCATTAATTTTTATTTTCGACAATTTGTGTATTTTGTGTATTGAAATTAATAAAATAAAAAAGATTTTACCTTAAATATTAGAAGACTGTTCGATAACCAGCATGATACAAGTGTGTAGTTGGTTATATAACGTATATAAAGTATTTATGTTCAAATCCATATAGAAAGCTTCAAGTATATGGCTGAACTAGTAATATATAGGGGCCGCTTTAGTGTGCTTGGATATATAGAAATAGCTTTTGGTATATATGGTTTGCATTAAACTGTAGGAAGTTACTCTGGTTTCACTTCAATGCGAATAAATCTTTCGCCTTTTACTAAAGATTTCCGTGGAGTGGAACAATATAGAAGAGTCTATACATAATTTTTTATTGTCCTGATCTTATGATTGGGACGCCTTATATTAATTCAAACATAACTTATAAAATATGACTTCAAAATGATTACAATATACTACATAGAACTAAGAGTAGTCTTTTTTCAATTTCTCAATTGAATGTGGATTTGGGAAATAACATATTCTTATATTTTGATACATTGTAATTACTTAAAAAATTGCATTTTATTTCATAATATCTCAATTCGCTTTTGAGATATGTAGAGATTAATTACCCTAACATTTATGTTTCAAGTTATACAATGTTGCGTTCAAAAATTCATAAGTCTGAAATTCGATGATTTGCAGAAATTATCTTTAAAATATTGAATACTAAGTAAATTTGCTTTAAATTGCTTTTTATTTCATAACAATATCTCAATTAGTTTTTGAGATATGTAAAGATTAATTACCCTAACATTTGTGTTTAAGCTTAAGCAAGGTTGCGTTCAAACTTTCATAATTCTGAAATTCGATGATTTGCAAAAATCATTATTAAAGTATTAATTACTCAGTAAATTTGCTTTAAATTGCTACTTATTTCATGGTGATATCTCAATTAATTTTTGAGATACGCAAATATTAATTAATAATACCCTAATATTTACGATTATGCAGAGTTGAATCAAAAGAATCATATTTCCGAAATTTGAAGATTCAAAGAAATAATCTTTAAAATGTTAAAAACTAAATAATTTGCTTTAAATTGCTTTTTATTTCATAATGGCATCTCAATTCGTTTTTGAGATATGTAAAGATTAATTACCCTAACATTTATGTTTAAGGTTAAGCAAGGTTGCGTTCAAAAATTCATAAGTCTGAAATTTGATGATTTGAGAAAATCATCTTCATAATATTAAATACTATGTAAATTTGCTTTAAATTGCTTTTTATTTCATAACAATATCTCAATTAGTTTTTGAGATATGTAAAGATTAATTACCCTAACATTTGTGTTTAAGCTTAAGCAAGGTTGCGTTCAAACTTTCATAATTCTGAAATTCGATGATTTGCAAAAATGATTGCTAAAGTATTAATTACGAAGTAAATTTGCTTTAAATTACTATTTATTTCATGGTGATATCTCAATTAGTTTTTGAGATACGCAAATATTAATTATTAATACCCTAGTATTTACTATTATGCAGAGTTGAATGAAAAGAATTATATCTCCGAAATTTGAAGATTCCAAGAAATAATCTTTAAAATGTTAAAAACTAAATAAATTTGCTTTGTATTGTTTTTTATTTCATGGTGATATCACAATTAGTTTTTGAGATACGCAAATATTAATTATTTTAGCCCTAACATTTACGATTATGTAGAGTTGAATCAAAAAAGCCATAACTCCGAAATTTGGAAATTCCAAGAAATAATCGTTAAAATATTAAAAAGTTCCTACATAAACTTGCTTTTTATTTCATACCAATATCTCAATTAGTTTTTGAGATATGTAATGATCAATTACCCTAACATTTATGTTTAAGGTTATGCAAGGTTGCGTTCAAAAATCTATAAGTCTGAAATTTACTGTTTTGAAAAAAACATCTTCAAAATATTAAATACTAAGTAAATTTGCTTTAAATTGCTTTTTATTTCATGGTGATATCCCAATTAGTTTCTGAGATACGATTTCTTTAATGTCTGTTCTTGAACTTTACAATCAAACACGCCAAGTTGAGCTTAAAAAATCATTTATGCTTAGCTTGGATTCAAAGTCTTGGGAGTTATACCCATCGACCAAGCTTGTTTCTGAACATCTTACCACATAAATCGAAGCAGACCATTATGAAACTTATCGGCAACATGCTGTCTGTTTTTAATGCTGAAAAACAAAATGAGCAAACGGAAAAAACTGTACAACGGACTTCTACAAGGTTCACTTCTTGCGCCCTTTTTAACCTATACACATCGAATCTATCAACCACAAGAGCAAAAATATTTATCAATACTGATGAGCATATTATAAAAGACCACTGAAGACATTCTCTGTAATAACCTGAGAGCTAAGTGGAGACTAACACAACATAAAAAAGAAAATGGTGTCCAATAGACTCCAGGTCAGTTTGCAGGTTATACTTAGTCGTTACGTTGGGCAGAACACTCTTGTTTAAAAAACATCTAGAGAACCATAGAGAACATATCTGCAAAAATCCGCAATCGCAATAACATCATACAAAAGCTCGGCTCTACATGGGGCCCGCAGCAACCACGTTGCGATATTCTGCCCTGATACTGGATTATTCTTCTGCGGAATACTGCGCGCCGGTATGGATAAGCTAAGCATGAGAAAGCATTCGAGAAAATAACTTATCTTGATATGAATTGCCTCAGATCCCAACAATCTCCAAAATGTTGCTGAGAAATTGGAAAAAACCCTACAACCTCATCTTTGATTGGGAAAAAGACTGGAAAGCCAAAGCACCACCAGGAATAAATCAACAAATTCTTTTCAACCAAGAACCAGAAAGATTTTGACTTCCTCGCCACCTAACAGAGTACGTACGGGACATGGGGTCTGTTTGATATCTTCCAAAAGCAAATGGGAAGTGCTGCTATCGCCTCAATGTTCCTGCGGAGCTCCAAAACAATCTATACTTTTTTAATTTGTATTCATACTTTTGAACTGTTTCAGACCAATGTGGTCATAGAAACCAAACCATGTATCTAAGGTCGACAAAAAATCTCTTGCAACAGAGTAAACTATTAGTTTTGAAAGGGATCAGCATAGAGCAATCATGTTGACACCTCGAAGACAATCATGGAAAGCATTTCACGGAATTGACCAAAAAACTCCTTGATTTCAGAACCACGACGTGTAGGAGCTTAATTTGCTTCTTATTTTGTTCACCTCAACACTGTCTAAAAGGAGATAACTACACTACTAAATTAGATAAATACATTAGTTATTATTAAAAAAAATAATAAATTCAAATTAATTAAATAAAAATTGGCCCGTGTGGGAATCGAACCCAACGACCTTCACGGTTGATATCAGTGTGACGCTCTTACCACTAAGCTAACGAGCCTTGTTTTAATACCTACGACTTGCTTCAATATATTTATAACATCAAACCTATTTTTAGACTTTTATTTGCTTCTGATTTAATTTGTTTCGTGTTTAAAAACATTACATTGTAACTAACTCTTTATTATTAAAGGTTTTAACAACGTTTCACAACAAATATGAAAAAAGTATACAAATTAACTTACAATTCACAAAACATGTCATCAACATTAACATTTTGATTTCCATCCATCACAATTTTCATTACAATCACTTCGTTGTTATTCAAAATAGCTAACGAATTGATCATTTCAAAAGAATTACCGGTTGTTAGTTGCATTTTTATAATTCCCTGTCCACCTAATTTTGCTGATTTGATATGTTGAAAACCTTCAATTCCTTTATATGCGTAAACGTGGAATATTTTTTGATCCTCAAAGAACATTAATAAGGTCTCTCCGTTTTGAAGATCTAATACGGTGATGGATGATGGTTTATAAGTGGGAATTTTTTGAAATAAGGTTCCTTTAAATATATTTGAGTAAATCTAAAAAAGAATTGTTTAAAAAAAATAATTTAGAAATTAAATATTTTACTTTAATTGAATCTGATTTAGTTTTAATGCTAGACCCTTCACGATTCGAAACGGCAACCATAACCTTCTTATTCCCACCTACATTAAAAACAACAATTTCACCATTTTTTCCCGGTATAAATCTATTTTTAACTATTTCAGTTTTTCCTAAAATAGTTTCTTGGACATCGATTCCAAATTCGATCATTTCATCGTCGTTTCTCTCCAATTTGATCAATTTTTGACCATCTCTTAAAGCCAACCCCGTTTTCAATCCATTCGGAATAAAAACCATATTATCGTTCCCATTTATTTTCCATTTTCGATAAACGAAAACATCAGATTTCTCGTTAATTTTGTATTCTCTCACTTCGTTTTGAGTTATCCCATAAAAAGTGTTTGGAATTAATGATTCTTGAAGTAAATTAACTTGGTCTAAACTTTGATGATTATTTATTAAATTTTGTTCGAAAACCCATAAATTTGTTTTTGGCATATAACAGTTTGTTGAAATTCCTATAAGGTGAATTTTATTTTCACTTTTTACGGTTATTAATTGTTGAAGAGTTCCCGTTTTAAAAACAACATTTTCTGTGAACGTTTGATAATTCCATTGGAAAATTGTTGAATTGCACGAATTTTTTTCGTTGACGATAAGGTAACGTTCATCTTTGTGTACGAAATAAGAAAGAAAGTTGATGGGTTTTTCTACTTCTACGGTTGCGATTCGTTCGAGATATTTAAATCTGTAGATTTGGGATTGCGAAATATGTTTTAAATGGTTTATATCTTTACAAGATGCTGAGTAATCAATCTAAAAAATAATTTATTAAAAATTAAGAAACTGTTAAATAAATCTTTTACCTTAAAATCCTTTTCAATTTTCTTTTTATATTCCAAATTATATCCAACGTAATTAGTTACATTTCTAAAATCTAAACCATTTATTAACCCATTCCCGTAAGAATAATCTTCAACGATTAAATTTTTGAAACTCATTGATTCAGAAAGATTTTGTATCCGATTCGAATTTTTCTTCAAAGAGTTTTCGTACCACTCCGTAAAATTAATTCCATTTATTAAACCGTGAATTTCTAAATTTTTCGCTTTAACTTTAGATGAAAAATTTAAATTTCCTTTTAATATCCCATCTTCGTTTATAAAGAAAATGTTATTAAAATCAATATTCTTGGAATTTCCTTTTATCTGGAGATCTTTGTAAATTAAAACGTTATCATTAAATGTGATTTTTGATGAAATATTTTGAACTCCTTTACTCTAAAATTTAAAATAAATTTATTTCATAGTACGTATTATAAATTGCGATCAATTTTTGGGTATGAGAAAGAAAGATGTTATTAAAATCCTTTTTCGGAGCTGATTACGAATCTTCTTTTTTTTTTTTCTTATAAATATGTGGCGATATAAATTAAGAAAAATAATGTTGGTAACATTTCTTGTAAAGTAAAATGTGAATTAAAGTACATTCTATCTGTCCAGGTAATTGACTCTCTCGAAAGTCTTGCCAAGAAAGGTGCCAAAAATTAATATCACCTCATATTGAGCTTTTACATCATTTGCTCTCAAGGCAAATCTCAAAATTGTGATCAGCCATTGATCCCTTCGACGCTGATTACATCTCATATGCGTCTTGACAGTAATTTATTCCTGGTGTAGTAGTTGCTTCAACATTGCAATAAGGGCCAGCCAGCATAAGTTATCAAATGCACCTGAACTGTTCATGAAATGCATTCCTACACATATACACTTAGGTTGCTTTATTAATTCTACGGCTCTGTTTATAGATTACCAAAATTCTTTCTGTCTTCCAACAGTCATCCGAAAACCACTCTTCCTCATAGAAAGTTACCTCCTTTGTTGATTAGACAGATTGGCTTGTAAGATTTTGGCACCCTTCTTAATACAAAGGTGAATTGTGGAGAATCGGATGAAAGGAAGGAATTGAGAAAGCTAGGTGTTTAATGCCTATAGCACAAGATCAGTACCGGCCCAAAATGGATGAAATTGGAAGTACCTGTAGGGTGCCACAGAAAACTAGAAGTAGAAGAAAACTCCAGGTCAATGCATAGATGCAAGAGCTGTTTTGCCGAATAGCTGAACGTATTTTGACAAACCGTTTACATGCAATGGACAAGATACATAATGACGAGATATGGGTTCCATCAATTGGCGGACCGATACAACGAAAAAGAAAAACAACATATGAAATTTTGTTGGAAGGACAGGAAAGAAAGACTTTTTGTATTACACAGTGAACACCATAACCTGTAAAATCGACCGTACATTCACTTAAAGAAGGTGCATTTCGTAATTAGTAAGATAAAGCCATGAACTGCAAATGACTGGAATGGACCAAAAGACACGCTAAAGCAATTTTAGTGGTGTTACCCGTCTAACTCTCCCAGACATTGCAATAATCTGACTATCACTTCCATCGATCGATGGCACATGGTCTTTCAGAACAGCACTTCACCAACAACAACGATGTAAAAAAGTGGTTTGAAGATTGGATCGCTTCCAAAGATCTAACTTTGAAATAATATTATTATGTTGGTATGATAGGATTAGAGTAGAGAAAGGACTCAAGCACATAACGTCCGTGAAAATAAGCGCGCAAATAATAAGTATAATAAGTAATAGCAAACATACCTTTTTCCAGATACTTTAGATACATATGTTTAACTTATTAATGAAGTAAATCCCAAACATAGCTCTCTTGACAAGAATAATGATTTGTATCAGAGATTTCTGTATTTATGCATGCTACGCACATTAAAGTACATTAAACTAACGAAAGGAAATGCTTCTTTCCTAAAGACGAAAAAGTGATATGGAAAGTGGTTGAAACTCAGTCAGAAATCTCTCTGAACATAAAGGTTGCAACGATAGCAATGTGCAAGAAAGCATTTCCAGAAACATATTAAAAGAAATGCATGTAGACACCAAGAAATTACGTCATGGTCATCGCCGAAATCCATAAAATCCAATTGAGCCCCACACTGTTAATTCATGTCATGACATGGTAGAAATATCAGATATAGACTTCAGGTTTGAAGATCATAGATAAGCCAGAAAAGATTTTCCTAAAGGCAGAAGGATTTAGAATAATTTAGTCTTGCCCATTACCGTTAAAAGATGTTTTTTCAGATATTTGGGAGTTTATATTAACAAGGATATGACGGATGATTAAATACGTATCGGAGATAACAGACAAAGAACAGTGCTTTTCCGCCTACCATATCGCGTTAATGGTTGGCATTTCCGTACCAGTTTCTCTCCGATCGATTTGAGAGTGGAAGAGAAGAGTCTTGTGTATGAGAGAGGTAAGGTGGTGATTCAGAGCCTAGTAATTGAAATATATTAACAGATTGCAAAGCATATAGAGGAATGTTGAACGATATTTCCAAATATTGAAGGGTGGATAACAGAAAATACCTAGAAACAGATTTCTTTCTAGCACAAACCCTAACAGATCATAGTGTGTTCAGTAATTACTTAGAAAACGCGATAATATTGATGTTGGTTTAAAAATGTAAGATAACGGATGTAAGAAATGAAAGATAACGGAGGAAATATTTACCACCATAATAAAATAAGAAAAAGGTTGAATGAGATTTGAAGAAGGACGGATAGAGTTGATATCGTTGTGGAAGAATATGATGTGGAGTTGACCAATGCTCTAAAAGTAGAAAACTATTGCAAATAGATATACAAAATTGTGTAATTTTGGTAAAATGCATAAAATACAAAATTAATTGTAAAATACGATTATAATTTTATTGATATTGATGTCGATTGATATGAAAGGAATAGTGAATGTAACATTAGTTTTAGATCATCAATTAATAAGAAGTTACTTACGAAAATGTTTAATTTTCCAGAATCAACAAATCCAGTAGATAACGGAAGATCACAACTATATGTTGTCGTCGAATTTTCTCTCAAATATTATTTACTTCCCCATACAACATAAATAATTGGAGACAATGAAGTTAAATAAATAAAACATTTAATTACAGAAAGTAACAACATAGTCATAACGCTTTGTGATCACATAAAAAGATGATTTGCATTAAAACTAGTGGAATTTCTGACACTCCTAAATAGTGGTGTTAAGATGTGGCCGAGATGTTAGTGTTGTGAATGATATCACAAATCCTAGAGAAATTCAACAAGATCAGCACCATAACACGCTTTTGATTCATTGTTTCAGAAGCCTGATAGTTGTAGTAATTAGGTATTTCTAATATTTAAATTCCGTTCTATACAATAATTGCTGAGTATCAAATAATCATGAAACCCCAATCTATTATATCAATGTCTAACATCAAAACCAAATTATGAGAGACTCCTACAGGTCCGTTGCCAAACTTCTGAGGTTTCTGTCTCCCAAAAAGTATCACCATTGACTGGATTTATACTTTGTG